TTTATACTGGGCCTATAGCTTGTGGTAACATTAAGTTATGTGCTAAGAAATTCGCGGTAACCGACCACCGCAATGTGACAACATGGTCAACCACATGCATGATACAATTGATACGATTTTAAATGATTAATGATTATGTCACTGCAAGTTTTGACATGCCTGTGAAAATACAGATAATAAATATAAATAAAAAATAGGTACCTACTAAATATATGATTACCATCTGCATGATTGGCCGCGGATCCTTCGGTTTTCAGTGTATAAAAAAAATATTTTGACATAGGTACATACATTAATTTAATTAGGCTTCGTGGTCTTTTTATACGTTGATTTTTTAAAGATCTTAATCGATACCTAGTTGCATCAAGTTATAGCATAAATTGTGTTTAGTCTACAATAAGCTCAACCCAAATAATAAGCACTTGCACTTCGGTCTATCTCTCTAGGCGATAGGAGTAATGTTACGTTATATTCAGCTCCATCACCAAGCTGCCAAAGAAACTGTCACCAGTTTCACAATTCTCAGTTTTATTTCGAAACACTGTAAAGCTATTCTCGTACGAAAACAAAACTTTGTAACTCGTTCTGAATGAGGTATTAATAGAAATGTCTAACTAACCAAATTAATTACAACCTTACGACTGTTGATTTTAATGAATCAATTTACCCTATCTATTAATACAATACAAAGTTAGAGATTATGTTTTTGTTTATTGTCTGTTCCACTAGTGCCTGGATTTCAAAATTGAAAATGAAAATTGCCAAATAGACAATATATTTATATAACAACTTAAATAAAAAACATTTTTACACAAATGAAGTGCTAACAACTGCTAACCTACAATGGTATCTGTTCGTTCAAAGAGTTTATCTCACATATAACTATATTTATTAACCTGTAGTCCATTCATTTCAATAAACCTTCAACATATTTACAGCAGTGTCAAATAAAATTTAGAAACAACCACACGTCTTTCATTAGTAAATAAGCACAAGCGAACTGCAACTTTATCGCCTCAACAGTATCTTTTATCCGAAAGAGAGTACAACATCATTAACATTTTTGGCAAAAACAAAGACAATAAATAAAGAAACTCAGTAATCCTTATTCCATTTGAACCTAGCCTTAGCCTACAAACGTGACAAATCTGCCAAACAGATCACAAACAATCGTGCTTCGATCGATGGAGCAATTCGTAATTGGTCCTAATTCCTATCGCAATTAGATTTCACTTGGGACCACAATACCTGACCTATTGTGTAAACAAATTGTTGTATGTTACAATAAGTAAATCATACACATCAAAGTTGGTACAATCATGACTAGCATGACTGACATTAGCATTAGATTGATAGAAGTGTGATTTGTACGCTTCGGGGTAGAAATGAAGGCTGAAGATTCTATTCATTGCCACCGTTCTGATATTTGTTCGGTGTTCTACACCGAGCAAATATCTATCTATATTGGATATCTAATCAAAACTAAAATAGTATTAATATACTATTTTGTAAATACAAAGCACCCACTTTTCACAAGTTATTTGTTGTACTGACTTTAGAGAGGCTTTTGTTCAACAGTAGACGATAGTTATGAAGATAATAATGGATAAATTGGTCCAGTTTTTCTAAAATAAAATGTCAATAAGTTCAACAATAAAGCTTCAATAACACACTTCCTCTGCCAATTCCCAGTTTCCTACGTAATTGTACCAGCAGTGGTATAATTGAGACAATCTTCTCGTTCTATTTTTGTACCTAAGTCAGGTCCATTCCTGTCGGCTGTCGGGTACTTGTTCCATACTTGCAATTTACTAATTCTGACAGCTTCATATTGTGACCTCGTTGGCCTCATACTTTGTCACTCGAATAGGCACAATGACTTCATTTGGTTTATTTTAGTTTAGAAAAGAAAATATAGGTCACATATTTATATCAGCAAAAATAGTTTGTTATACAGTTGTAGTTGAAATTCGTCTCTATTTTGAAACCCCAAGTGAAAAACATATCAAAATAAATAAACATCCATTCATTCATTCGACCACAATCGTACCTATCATCAGAAAAGAAAGTTCTGAGAAAATTATCCCCAAAATATAAAAATTAAAAAGGATTCCCTTACTGCTTGTGACAAGTATATAATTAATGACAGGACAGTAACTGGGGCGTGTGATTGCACTTCAAAATCTTTTACCAGCTGATTTAAAATGTCAGCTCAAGGACAATCATATATTATATCTTTACCAAATTTTGACACTCCATATATTATTCACCGTCAATCATAATGTGTGTGTGTGTGTCTTCATTTCTTTCTTTCTTTCTTTTCCACAAACCGTCAACAGTTTGTCTTTTTTGAATGTTTTGTCACGACACGATGGGCACTCACGGGAGGGCGCCATTAGTTCCTCTGAGAAGCGAGAAGACACACAAAAGGTACAAAATATCAGTTTGTTAGAGATGTGACCATATAGGTAAAAAGTATAACAGATTTGTATCTAGGGCTGACCAAACAGAATGTTTGGCGGTGATATTTGATTATAATACGAACAGATCAAAATCTAATATAATAGAAGAGTAGAATTACAAACAATACCTCCTTAACAGATTGTCAAAACAATATTAAGTTTTTCTTAATGTTATATTTGTTACCATGAAAAAGGCAACGCATCCAGAAGTACTCAAAACAAGTTAAACAAAATATAAGTGAAATAATTACCTAACAAACTATAAGACGTCTCCTCATACTAAGAATGTTTTCAAAAAAGCTCCCACTTACGATTAAATACCAATAAATTAAGACCCCCAAAACACCAGCTTCATTCATTAGATTGCTATAATGAACTAACCAACCTCCATTTACATTTTACCTGTAGGAATTTCAACAGGAACACTACTAGACAGGTACCTATGTTCTACACCAGACTATTCCAAACTCGTTACAAGTCCATTGTGATGCAATGTGCTGCACCCATTAACTAACACACCTCGTGTCGACAAACTAAACCTCGGCATAGTAATTGCAAGATGGTAACTTTCTGTTATACTCGTAAGTATACCTGGATAATAAACATTTAATTTTATGTTAAATATAATTTACAATTTTAATAATTACGGATATTGAAGAAATATTTGCTTGACATTTTCAATAAATATCGGATGTTGAAAGACGAAAGTTTATTTAAAGTGGAATAATTTATGTAGTTATTCTATAAATAATGGCATTGGGAAACATATTATTCGTATTGGTCGAGTGATCGCAAGTGCGCCGGGCAAGAGGTATTGGGTTCGATTCCCGGATCGGGCAAAGTATAATTGGGTTTTTTTTAAAAGATCTCAGTAGTAGCACGGAGTCTGGATTTGTGCCCGGTATATGACAATAGGTTCAACCTCTATTACATGGGACTCGTAACTTAAATATTGAAAAAATGGGTGTTACATTAAGTGCCGTAATGTGCACCTCTGCCTACCCCTTCGGGGATAAAAAAGCTTGATGTTGGTAAGTATTGACATTGGGGAAAATACTATTCGTGATTTTAGAACTAAAGTTTAACAGACATAACAGTTTATCTTTAAAGAACAGTCATGCACCAGTGAAGATAATTATAATCAGCGCTGAAAAGAAAGCTTATATAAAATGTCCTGGTTTGTCAGAACGCATATCTAAGCGCTACACAGTGTAATTTTTACTATATCTGTGTCATAATGATACCGCATTAATTAATACTGAAGTCCCGTCCACGGAAACAACGGTGTACAGCTTCAACAAAATAAAAAAAAACATGATCAAATTCCATCATATCTTTCGTCAATCAACCCTGATCTTTAAGCAACCGGGGTAGCACAATGCCGGTCGTCCGGGACCGGGTTGTGCCGGTGACCTATGAGCTCAGGAGACTTGCCTTATAAGGGCCGGCGCCGGCTGCAGCCGTGTCGCAAGACTCAAGAGCCGCAACGTACGCAGCCAATGCATGCTTCTTACCTGTTCAACATGTCACATTGAGGTCACCTATTCTTTCTGGAAGCCTTAAAAACATGTGTTTTGAGGCATTTTTAAGCTTAACAATCTAATAGGTCATCATTGTAATAATGACTCTGTGATGTAAGCTTAAGTGCTGATTCATCAACATAAATCTTATTAAGGTATTGTGTGAATGTGAACAAATTGAACTGTTTGTAGTTCAGTGATTTAGTTATTCATGGTTTAGAGGTGACATTGATATTTACAAGTTGTTTTCTACAAAACAAAAGGCTACTCATTAAACACCTACTACCGCGATACCAATGGTAAAATAGGATAGAATTTGTGCAGTGGTACCTTAAAGGATTTATAAGCGTGAAATCACGTTTAACCATCGGAGACATACAAAAAGAACCACTACTTTGTAATCAGTGAATATCCAAATCATGATAAATAAGTGCACGTAGTATCCAAACGCCTATTTGATATTTCAAGGACTATTGTAAAGCGATAAACTCATTGGCACGCTCCTCGTGTAAAATCGGAAGCGAATGCGCACGCGCATGACAATAGCAACAACATACGTAAAAGCTTCGTGTTATTAATTATTAATAGTGTTAATAATACGGTCACTTTGGGAGCTTGTGCAGTCATGTGATACCATTTTTGTATTTAACGAGGTGATCTTTATGATATTTTACGAGCGAATTATGCTTAGACTTCATGAGGATGGATGAGGTATTAAGTAGTCATAGGTGTCTATATAGAAACCTAAATAATATTGAATGCTAGAAGTTTTGATTCACGAAACTATATTATAAAAAGGAGTATCCATGAAGATAACTACGTGTAGGTGTGGATAACTCGATTCTGGGTTGTAAAATAACTACCAACTACCTAACTGCAAGGCAAAAATTTCACGTACTTGCGTACGATCAGCAATTATTTATTAATTGCTCCTATTGCCCGCTTTACCACACTTTTTCAAACACTTAGTAAGGTTATATGTTTCAAAATTTTTAATTTATTATGTCTCTTGTTACAGTTGGAGAACGTTCAATGCTGTTTGGATTTCCTTCACGCGCAAAAAGTCCAAGGATTAGAACAAGTAACAGCTGCGGACATCCGGGATGCTAAATTAAAAGCAGTCTTAGCATTATTTTTTGCGCTCAGCCGACACAAACAAGCAACAAAACAAAGAACAGCGCCATCTACCGGTAACGCTACGAACGCAAGCAAGAACTCTAGCGAAGATGTTTCATTAAATGCAGTACAACGCATAACAGGTGGCAGCAGTTGCGATGAAATTTTAACAGCGTGTGGCAACAACGTCGAGATGACGACGTTAACAGCAAATAGGTAAGCAAATTTAATTATTTTAGGATATATTTAGTAGATCAAATAAATTAAAATAAACACTAAAACTTAAAACAGTAGAATGTCGATTTTAGCGCCATCTATGTAATATTGTGGTACTAACTACTACAGACCAAGAGAAAGTATTGCGGCTACTGAACGCTAGATGGCTCTGTCATAAACTAATTAAAGATCTTTTGATGAAGCTTTCTACTTTTCAATTTTTCATTTTGTGCATCTTAGTTCTTTCGACGTTAGACGCCAAGGGATTTTAATTGATAGTAAATCAACATAGCACTTGTTGATTCAACTACGACGAACAAGGAGTGCTCGTCCCGTTAGGTATCTACTTACTTGCCTTAAAACATTAAAGTTAAAGACTATCCAAAAATACTCAAACGCTACTCAATTTTAAGTCGCAATAAGTTATTATCCTGTGCTTAAGTATAGTTCTGTCTCTCCAAATTCTTTGTAAAATGACAGAGATGGCACGATATTTAAGTACTAACAACTTAAAATTGAGTAACCTTTCAGTATTCAGGCGTTAAGTCCTCATTTGCCTATAAGCTTGAAATAACTTGCTCGTAGGCAACTTGAAGTCCTCTGTATGTAAGTATTTACATTCAACTTATTTCAAAGCTTCTCCAACTGTTTAAAATTATTTTCGTGTTCGGTCCTGAAGTTAGACGCCCGATCCTCGGAGCTAGCATTTATAAATAAATATTTTCGAGCTTATCCACTTTGGAAACTGTTTGATTATTTAAGAACTTGGACATTCTACTTTAGTTACTTTATTTTGAATTATTCTTATATTAGTGCTTAAATATTATATCTACCTATTTTAGGTACCTAGTTAAAAAATGTTGACTAAGTATTTCTAAGTAAAAACTTTTTACTTATTGGCCTTTATCGACTTTAATTTTATGTTATGAAATGTACATACATACATAACTTGACGTTTGTCTCTCATGGGGTAAGCAGTGACTATGGAAGGCACATTGCTACGATTCATACATAGGTACCTCTTTCAGTTCGTCAACAGTCATCAGTCTTTTCATGCATGCTCGTCGGTTAAGGGTACTTTTAATTTGGCCCTTCTTTAATATATCGCTAATCTGGACAGTATAATGTCCACATGACCCATGAAACAATTAATCCTCTACCTCTATATTATGAAACAGTGAACTTGAATTTTTCCTCTACTATTGCAATTTGGTAGGTATGTTGTGAAAATTGTACTTACCTACATAAACTCAATTTTTTACTTTTCGGATTAAGACCTACTTTTTATTTTTTTTATTTCGGAACTAGTACTTATTTGAGCATTAAGTGTTTATTATGCTATTTAGTTGCCTCAACTAAAATTTACAGTTTTATATTTTTGTCATAAAAACAGAAACGGTAAAATATAACCATTCACTTACGCAATAGTTAATAGGTAAAGGAAGATTTCCATCAGCGTTAAACTTGTTCTAACTCATAAATTACATAAAAGACGAAGAAAATAAACAAAACCACATTGTGAAATACAGAAATACGGAATATTCGAAACTGAATTACGTCGAGTTTTAGTTTAGTCGGAAGATCGGAAATGCCTGCCACAGTGAAAGCTATAATTCTTGCGTACAGGCCGCCCAGTGACACGTCTATTTCTGTCTAGCGCCCTCTGTTGGCGAGTTGCCGAGATGATCTGATGCAGGTTTACTCATGTTCTATGTTAGTAAACAAAGACTGCACTTGGCAACGCGAACTTGAAAGATATCACCTTTGGCAACGTTGTTGTAGTGAAATTGTAGTTTACTTTTGTTCAAAATATCTTCTTAGGTAACTACACACACCGGCAAAATTAGGGGAACACAAAAAAAAGACAGTTCTTTTTTAATTATTAGCTTTTTATGAATGTTTTTTTCGATTAATTTGGGTTTGGGTATTCAAAACAAATATGACGCAAAAGGAATTAGGGTTGAACATTATTTATTTACAGATACTTACAAAAAAATAGGAAATTTAAGTCCTTTACATTTTATTCAATTTTTTTTTTAAATTTAATTGTCATATTTTTTTTTATAAATTACCTAATTAATACCTCGTATTGCCACCGCGGGCTCTAATTAGGGCTTCAATACATCTGCTCATGCTTCTAATGACACTGTCAATCATTTCTTGGGGTAAATTGGCCCACTCTTCAATTAACGCCAATTTTAATTCCTCAACATTCCTAGGAGGTGGAATTCTCTCCCGCACTTTGCGTCCAATCATGTCCCAGACATGCTCTATCGGGTTCATGTCTGGAGATCGTGCTGGCCAGTCCATTTGGGTAATTCCAATTGCATTTAAGTACTCGCGAACCACGCGAGCAGTGTGCGGCCTTGCGTTATCGTGCATAAACACAAAATCTGGCCCTATGAATGGGACAAAAGGCATTACATGGGGTTCTAGGATCTCTGTTATGTACCTGTGTGCAGTCAGGGAGCCGCCTTCAATAATGACCAACGCGGTGCGGGCTGTTGAAGTAATGCCACCCCACACCATAACGGACCCTCCACCATATGACACCGTTTCGGTAAAATTGGCTTGGTGGTACCGTTATCCTCGATACCTCCACATCCTTTCCCTCCCGTCGATGAAATTTACACAAAATCGGCTTTCGTCCGAGAATAAAACATGACCCCATTCATCGGACCAATCTTGGTGCTGACGAGCGAACGCTAATCTTGCAACTCGATGACTTACTTCAAGTTTAGGCGCTTTTGCTGGCACGTATGACTTTAAACCAACTTCGTTTAACCTTCTTCTTACTGTTCGTTCACTAACTCGCACGTTACGCACTTCTTCTAAAAGGTTTCGGGTCTGCACAGCTGTTTGACGACGGTTTCTCAACGTTTGCACCCTTATGAAACGATCATCTACGGCACTGGTTGCACGCTTTCTGCCTTGTCCCCGCCTCAGTACGTAAGATCCCGTCTGTCTGTATCGTTTGACACAACGGTGGATCACAGATACTGATACACCCAACGTTCGACTCACTGAACGGTATGTGTGCCCTTCCTCGATCATTGTCACAGCTTTGGCAACTTCAGTTGCTGGTAAATCACTCATTTTGTATGCAATACAATGTTAACTCTTCAAACAATAACAACAAAATAAGCTAGGGCCTCTTATTGACTGCTCCAACAAAATCCTTATCAAAAATACTTAAAAGCGCTGACACTCAATAAACACTTGAGAGCGTATAATTTATGCTAGATTGTTGAAAAATGTCAAAATATCTCAAAATATTGTGTTGTACGAAGGTAATTTCATAAATAAATGAAACACTTGACAAATCATTCACGAGTTCCAAAAAAAATGGCCCTTTTTTTTGTGTTCCTCTAATTTTGCCGGTGTGTGTATTTTGAATTTGAACTGAAGTTTTAGTTAGGTACTATACCTACTTCCGGAAATAGTTTACTTACTTCGGTCATTTTTATTCTCTACACCCACAAAAAAGAAAAACTGAAATGATATTGACATAATGATGTTCTGCTTACCACCACATCATGGTCTCATACAATCAATGAATCACATCAACATAAAAATAACATAAATAAAAACATTACCTACCAAAAACCAACACCAAACACCCAAACTTGATCTTAAACCGCTCAAAACGAGCAATAATAAAACACTGAAACAAGCCATAAACACAACAGGTATAGCCACCGAAACATAAAAAGCTATTTACATATTAATAAACGTACTGTGGTTGACGTCTCTCAGCCCTCTTGACACCGGTCAATGCTTCCCTGATTGCAAGCACAATGCAAGGATGTCACGTCAGAAGCCGAACTTGACTCACGACAAAGAAGCTAACAAGCTATTGTTTGTCATTTGTTGCATCGCTCGGGTAACTAGCACGTGCTTTGTAAGGGTAAAAATTGGTTTTATAATAGCTCTTTTAAGTTTAAGTTGTTTTTAGTTAGTTTTATTGCTATTGTGTTGAAAAATATCGGAGCAGTACCTAGCTTAAATAATGATTAGAGTTAAACATTTTCTGAAGTCACAATTTTCGTACGAAATTTTTCTTACCTTTCTATAGATAGTGATTTAAGGAAATAACACATCGTAGGTGATAATTTCTTTTCTAATTTAGCTTTCTGATAATATTGATAAGTTATCCAGTCCTCAAAACCCGTGCCGACAGCAGTTAATTACCATCGCCATTACAGTAACGCAGTGTTAAGCTTTCGACTAATTTGTTACTCAAATGTTTTACCTTTTTACCTACAGCTGTTTAGCTATTTTTGAACTTATTTTGTTCTATCTTTAAACTACTGTATTTGAAATAGAAATACGCTGAATATGGCCAATCACGACTTGATATAAGTTTAAACAAAAAAGGATTTGTGAATAGAGGTCGTCTCATTTTTGCAACCTCAAAGCAAAAGTGAGTGCATTCCTGGGCCCAAAGGAACCGGTCTACATTTAGAATTCCGCCAGTTTTTCACATAGGTGAACAACCGAGGGCGCACGTTTATACAATGGGACCACTTTCCTTACGGGGCCTACCATGTAGGGCCCTGGCCCGTCGAGAGTCCAACTGAATACCTTTTATGTGCCCTGAGTAAACACTCAAACAGATCATTAAGTATAATGATATAGATTGTGTAACACGTCAAAATGTCGCCGTGACATTCAACGTGATGCAACCGTTCCTCCGGTGGAAGTACCTTCTTACCACGTTTGTATTCAATATTTTGGACATTCCCTAACATTCAATACTCATAAACATTAAAGTTAATTTCAAAAACCATTACGAAAATGTTGAAATAAATCTAAAAGAAGAAAAAGAAAAATATCACCCGCATTACGTATGATAAGCCGAAGACGTCTGACATTTTTCTCGTATCATGGTAATGCCAGGATTCTCCGGGGAGTATAGTAGGCAAAGTATTCGGTTTTTCATTTTATTCGTAAAGGCATTCGTATCTAAGAGACACGAATCTATAACGTTGACCTCTATAATCTGAGTCCCAAAATAAGCGGTAATACTTTTTAAAATAAACGAAACAAACACGTAAAAAGCATTGTGCGAACCCGTCAGACTTAATTACCACAATTCGCGCGGCCGCGACCTGACACCTCGATCAATCGTAATCGACGCGAAAGTTCTTCAAAACTTAATTCTCCAGATAACGGTGCCCTGACAGCTGACAGAATCATCGCTCATTTTAAATAACAAGACGGCTCAGTCTCATGCCGCGATAAGTGTACAATTACTGAGGGCTGAGGGGCCCAGGGTTCGAGTAGCCAATTACAGAAGTTAGGAACGGAACGGTGCGGTGGTGTGAATTTAAGAGCTCATATCGAATTTCTCGTTGAGTCGTCAACATAAACAACGCCGCAAGGCTAATTGCTGCCTAGTGCTTTACTCCCCTAGAGCGAACACGGCCATTTTAATCGCCTTACGTGCGCTTATTTTCTTGCAAAACATTGATCCTTTTTACAAGCTTGCAATGTAATCCTTTGAAGAAACTTGTTCCTTGTAAAGTGCATAGCATATGTGCACGTTGAAATCCTTCTGTTGCCATAGCAAGTTCGGTATGCTTGTGGGTAGCAGCCGCGTCGTGTCATGGCCCGTTTGTTTACATATCGCTCGCGCCGCTCGTCACTATCGCCTGTCTATTCCGTCAACAAACATAATTCTCTTACTTCCACGCTCCTTAATGGTAATGGGATACACAAATACCCGCTGTGGGCTTAGAGATGTGGTGTCTGTTGCTTTAAAGTTTACATTGACCGTGATGTAGAAGAATGTATTTCTAGTATTGACATTCATTCATTAGCCCGGACAACTATTGATTTAATTAAAATGAACAAAGCCATTT